ATGACAGTCAACCAATCACCTTTTCAAAATGAACCACAGAATACTCTAAGCCATCAGAGTGGATCCGAGGAAACTTGATCATTAGAAACATAAAATTGGAGTTTCGCTTTTCCCTCTGCAAAGAAACAAAACCAAGAATTTTTTACTATTTGTATTAAAAAAAAAACAATCATGTAACATGGACCTACAATAACCTTGAATGTTTAAGCAAATAACAGAATTCAAATCCCACTTATACAGATGTGAAATTAGTTTCTGATATTTGATCCTACCAGTTTCTCTCTAAGAGTGAGTTTGTTGAAATATAGAAGTCATTTTAAAGTGATCTTGTTATCCCACTTATTTAATCCATCCTTTACGCCCTAACATCAGTATGCATATTCTCCATACTGTTCTCCATATATTTTCTATGGTGCCAGCATGGAGAATTTGTTTAACAATCAAGAGCTTCCTTAGTTTGTGATCATTTCCTTTATTCACATGACCTTAATGTTTGATTCAACAGTTATACTGTAGGGAGAAATTAGATGCCAATTACTCTTACACATTTATGTGTAAAAGGAAAACTTTCCAATTCAGTGATAGGCTTTGAAAATAAAGCTACAAAGTAGAGATTCCTTACTAGGGAAAATCTCACCTCATTCACCATTTCAATTTCTCTGAAAGTGAGGCGGTCCAACCAATCCACCTTGAGCATTCGACCCTTGTGATGTTTCTTACTTAGCTATTGCCAAGTGAAGAGAAGAGGAAAAATTACAAAGACGTTTTAATGAGACTGACTACCTAGAAGCCATAGCCTTAACCCTTTACACCCTAAGGTCAGTATGCATATTCTCCATGCTGTTCTCCGCACATTTTTTAAGGTACTGACTAGGAGAATTTGTCTAACAATCAAGAGCTTCCTTACTTTTATTCTCATAACCTATATGTGCGATTCAAGGGTGATATTGTGAGGAGAAATTAGATAATAGTCACTCTTAGGAGTTAAAGGGTTGGGACTCTGATACTTGGATTGTTGGATTAAAGTAGTGATAACAAATTTGATAATCCTTAGTGAATGAGGTTGAATAAAATATTATAATTATAGTGATTTGCCAAAGGCAAGCATATGGCAATGTGTCAAAACAAACACTTTTAATTAATCTCTTCAAATCACCTCTCAATAATTACCTTAGCTAGCCTGCTCATTTGATCTTCACCAGTAGTAGACTTTCCTGGAGTGGAGGTTGGCCTCTGGCCATCAGCTTCTACTCCAGGCCACACCTTTAGATCATGCATGCCACGACGCTGAGTCCTGTATACAAATTCAAATGAGTTACCATCGTGTTGCAAATAGAAAAGAGTATTTTAAAGCTGAGTGCCGAATGACTTTCTGTGCTTTTTTAGTTCAAATAGATGGGAATTATTTCTCCTTAGTGTCTCCTTGATAGCCATCCACTACAGGAAATTATGAATATCTAAGGAAACTGTTGTGCGGTGTCAGCAGGCAAATAAGAAAATTACCATGTGACAATTCTTATTGTATAGATTGTAACAGGTGAATGTGTGGCTGGGAATCCTCCTGTGATAGAGGGCCAGACTGCTAATATCTTGAATTTGCAGAATTTTCAACAGGACTTAGACTGGGATCAATGCTCAACAAGTTTGCTTAAAAATTGCCAAAAGTATTCAAGATTCTCTTGGCCAATATAAAACCCTGTGTCTTACCAGACAAAAAGTATTTTTTTGCAAATATTTGACAATTTTTTATTGATTACATTAGTTGGTTAACAATGTTAAACTGGTAAAAGCAGGCAAACCACCAAGAAGACTTTGGAAAAGTAGATGTTTGGAACTCTGACCAAATAATTCCATCTGGACCAAACCCTGCCTCTTTTTCACTTTCCTGTCTACAAGATCACCCATTTCACCTTCCCCTTCCAAGGTAATGAGATACAGTGAACTTACCCATATTTACCAAAAAGCGACACGGTTGTTCCACCAACTGGGATGGCTTTCCTTGGACCATACACATCCCAGATTGTAAAACACACTTGCGCATGGCGAGGAATATCAGGGTATTTGATGGGCAACTTGAGCCACTCATTCCAACTAAAACAAATTGTTTGTAGAATGTTAATATGTTTGTTTCTAGAAAACAAAATACAAAGTCCATTCAATTTGAGCAATTTTGTTTCTTGTATGACATTATAATTTTTATTTTGCATACTTCACAATAGCCAAATAACATTACTCACATAATACAATAATTAAGTCTACAATATAAGTTTAAAATGTTTTCCCAACTCAGTGGTATAAAAAAAGGTTCGTAATGTTTAAAAGATAGTGGATGGTTGTTCAACCCTTAAACTCCCCGAGGTGCTTAACATGTAACTTTGCCCTCATAATAACCATAGATCATCCTGCAAACATGTAATGAGAAAACTCAAACTTATCAAGAAGAAGTTATCTTCGCCAAATGCCAAATTCTCATTTTTGCAGAGAATTGCAAAGGATTGAATCACAATTAGTTTTAAGTTTTGAATCTGATTGGTTGAGAAGGTAGAACAAGTTTTCTGGATCACAGAGCAAAGAAAGCAAAACCAAAGCAATCATGGATTTCCTTCCACACTCAATTGCAAACTGATCTTGACTAACTTTATATTGATCATCATCTCTTCTTAGTACTTACTTCCATCTTGTACTGAATGGTTTATAAGATGTTCTTGTAGGAAGACATAGTGGTTGACCATCGGCAAATACTTGACAAGTGACATATAAATCAGAACATTCGCTAAAACATAAAATGATTTTGCTACTTTGAGTAAAAATTGTTTAATTCGGAACTGATAATACTTCAACATGACCAAAGCATTTTACTTTACCCAGGAATTTTTTTCATTAACACTTTAACCCCTAAGAGTGACCAGCATCTAATTTCTCCTTACAATATCTCCCCAAAATCACAGGTTGAGGTTGCAAGAAAACAGGAAATGATCACCAACTAGAGAAGCTCTTGATTGTGAAATAAATTCTCCCTTTCAGAACATTAGGAAATATGTACAGGATAGTAAGGAGAATATGAATACTGATGTTAAGGTGTAAAGGGCTTACTAAAGTTTCAAGTTGTAGAAAAGGAGGAGGGGGGATAACAGAGGCTCTTTAGAACCTTGAAGGATTTAATCGTAGAGGGATCAAAATATAAAGGGAGGTTGGTTTATCAGAAAATCCAAGCTCTGAATGGGGATGGAAAGACAGATAGGAGAGAAAGGGGAAGGCTTGTAGGAGACTGGAATTCTTGCATTGGAATGGTGGGTGGGGCACATAATAGAGGGAGGGATGCTTAGTAAAAAATTGATGCTCTGAATGGCAAAAAAGAGACAGATAAGACAGGTAAAGGGATTAATAGAACATTTATTTGACCCTTTAACTCCCAGATCAAATTTGTAGTTCTCCTTACCATCAACCATACAATTCTTATAATATTATTTCAGAGAATTCTGTACTGGATCAACTAATTATTCCCAAATAGATATTTTTCTTTATTCTCATTACTTATCTGGTTGATATTGTATAGATTTTGTAAGGAGAAATTCTGTCTTGGTCATTCATGGGAGTTGAAGGGTCAATAAGAAATGCAATTAAAAAGTAGTTACCCTTGAACTTCTGAGTTTTATTGCAGTTCTGCAAAAACTTCAAATAATTGACTGGGCTAGTTTGCAAAAAATCTTTTCAGGAACTTTTGCAACAAATGAGGTTGCACTTTTTTTACTATCAATTATCTTCTCACCTTTCATAAGCTCCTGAATATCTCAGTTGTGGATCATCTAAAAGCTCTTTGTACCCTTTACATTCTCTCTTTCCTTCCAATGTACATCTAAAAGGTAAATTTTGAACCATTATGTCCCTTAAAATCACCATCTGCAAAATTACTTTTAGCACTAAGAACCACTTTGAAGAAGAACACTCAGTAATCAAATTCAAGAAACCTTCTTATATTATATTTGAGTTGAAGTATGGTGTAAATTCTCATTCAATGTTTAGACATACTTGTCCTAAAGCAAACCTTTGCCTTGTATTGATCACTGAATTCAGTTCAATGCATTGTATGAATATATATCTTATTTTTGTTTATTGTGAGTAATATAGTGTCTTATCATAAGTTATGTATTGTTACTAGGTTGGTCACTGCATTCTAAAATTCTATTAAAAATGTAAAAATAATAATAATAATTAATAAAGGAAAGCCTATTTTCCAAAACATCATAGGTATTTTTCTGGATTGCACGCTGAAAAAAATATAATTGCAATATCTAATATCATTAATGGAAGTAATAAACCATTCTTGTTGATGAGAGGTTTAAAAAGAACACATTGCACGCTTTTTTTGAAAAATTTCCTGTGAATTTGTATTTTCGTTTGTATTTTGTTGCACATCGCGAGATATTTTAAAAATACAAACAAGTCTTGATTACAAGAAACTATCGTATTTCAAATAGTCACTTCCATTTAAGTAAAAGGCAAAATTTCCGCACAGCCCCATACATCATTATACATCCATATATGGGGCTTTATTTTTCAGTGTATCACCAGTAAGATGTACATGCATAATTAAGTATGGGGCTGTGCGGAAATTTTTCCAAGTAAAATCTTATAGAGCAACTCAGTGTGTTGTGATCCCAGGCATTGATGTGTGACAGACATTCAGCTGATCATGAGAGAGTTGTACAAACCAGCTGATGTCACACTGTCTCTCAGCGGATGAAAAAATCGCTGATATTTCCACGATCTTCCAATCATTTCGATATATACCGAATTGAAGCGTTTGCATTATTCTGACTTACACTTTAAGCTCGAGATTTGTGTCCAGATCACTGCTGTAAACATAGTAAAATTTCTCTTGGTTCGAGTTTGGGTCTACCATCTTTGTTTTTCCACTTTCCCGCCTGCGCCTGCATACTTTCAGTGGTAGGTTCTAAAATAAATATGCGTATTGTTCTTCTGCGCTTTATTTATTTCAACATGGTGGACAAAGTCTCGTGTCTCTTGATTAAATTTCGGTTGAAGTAACTTTACTCGACAAAAATGACTCGTTTTGCTCGTCCTGCCAAGAAGACAAGTCTTGAAGCAACACCCTGGCACGAGCTTGTTAACTCAGGTGGTAAGCGTTGAGCTTTCGTATAAGTCATCGAAAGGACAGATTTAATTTCATTTGATTGCACGTGTTGATAGCCTCATTTTGAAGATGAATCGATCCATTAAATTTCTTGCCCTTTAACTTAGGTAACCAAAGCTCAACTACAGCAAGCAAAGACAGTTTTAAAACGGCTGAGAAGAAAGTTGAAATCGCTGCCCTTAAACGAAAGAAGAAATTCAATCGTGATGATGGTGCCACTGAGCCGAAGATTGCAAAGAAGCCAAAAAGTAAAAAGCTTTCATTTGCAGGAGATAATGACTACAGCACTGGATCTAAGATTTCAAAGTCAGAAAGCTGGAAAGCTCAAAGTGGAGGAGTTGGCGATAAAGGAAACGAAAACTCTAGTTTTAGCAAGAAAGGCACAAAGATTAGAGTGAAAAGACCAGGAGTGATATCAGAAAGAGACTTCAGTGGAAAAATGAGAAACAAGAAATTTCAGAAGAAAGGTTATTTACAGACAGGCATTAAAAAGCTGAATAGAAAAATATTCACTGATGGAAGTAGGAAGGAAAGTTATGATAAAAAGCTCGAAGCAAGAAGGAAACGAAGAGCAAAAGGAAAGGTAATTTATGGTTATGTGATTAAGAAGGAGGTGAATAACTTGAATTCTTGCCAATACCCTTACTTAAAATTACCTCTATAACGAAAAAAATGTGTGTCATTTCTTTCTTGCAGTTTTATACACTCAGCTGGTGATGGTTCATGAGTAGGATTATTTTTTAAGCAAAGAAACATCTTAACAACTTTACTATTTTTTTTCCTCAGTGTGAGCCTAAAATTTACCAATTGTACTCTCTTGTGCCTGAAAATAAGTTTTGATTACCTTTTGGCTTACATTTTCATAAATTCAATTTTAGAACCTGTCATCACAGTCCTTACATTGTCACTATACACTTAACTCTAATGATAACCTTTGTTGAGGTCATTAAGTCAATGGTCACTTTCTTATACAACCATTCTTCTCTAGGAGTACTGCTACTTGGATGATCACATTAACTGATTATAAAGTTATTTCTTAACTCATAAATCTGGTTCTCTGAAAAGCTAAGCTTTACATTGCCAGAGTTTTCTGAACAGGCACATGTATAAATAGTATGTGCTTGGTGAAAGATATAATATAAAACCTTGCCATTAGTAATTTTCCCTTTCATATCAAAATGCATGCAGACATGTTTTCATTGCCGTCAAACTGGTCACCTGGTTGCAGAATGCCCGATGGCACAGAGCTCTGAAGTTGGTGTTGGAAATTGTTACAAATGTGGATCCTCACAGCACACTACTAAGAATTGCAAGAGCAAACAAAACAGTAAGTTGATTGAGTATTTTTGGATTGTATTGGAGATTACAACAAGAAGTCTGGTTACTTATTGGTAAAGGTCATGGTTTTGTTTTTGTAATGCTAGGATCCTTTAGAGCACTTGAACATGACCTTTGTCAACTCTGGTTCTTGACCAAGATGCTTAACTTGTACAATGCTATTTTCCATCCAGGGTAGAAAGGGGTAGAAATTCGCACTGAGAAACTGACATTCCATCCAACAGAAGAAGCAACACCTCAGTATTTCATGATTTTGGTCATTGGAGTCATGTGTGGACTTTTTGTTTAATGTTTGGAACAAGCAACTGATATTCTTTTCCAGAGAAGCACACACGAAACTTTGTCTGCTTGGTTCCCCTATGAGACTTAAAGAAAGTATATTTTTTTGACATATTGTCTCATATGTTTTTGTTTCCTATAGATTCAGACCTTCCTTTTGCAAAGTGTTTTATCTGTGGGGAAACAGGTCATATAGCAAGAGCATGCCCTGACAACCCTAAAGGACTCTATCCTAATGGTGAGACTTGTGTTCAGATAGGTTTTGTTGTTATGTAGACTACAAGCAGTCCCACTTTTTTTTCAAGAAAGTCTGTTGTGAAAGTGAAAAAAAATCAGTTAAAAATAAAACTGATGTCAGCAGGCTGTGCTGAGCTGTTGTAGTGAGGTGTAGCGCTAACATCTTTTTTTTTTTTTGCTGATTGTTTTTTTAATTGGTGCAAAAAATCCTAACAAAAGGAAGGGGGAATGGCAATGGGTCTAGTTGTTGTGATAAAAATTTGTACACCTTTTCCTCTCCTTTTGAGAAGTGTATCCTGATAAGTTTTTCTTTTCAGGTGGAGGATGTAAGATTTGTGGATCAGTGGAACATTTTCGAAGGGACTGCCCTGAACTAGCTAGAAACAAATCAAACACAGGTGACAAATTACTGTTACTACCTTAATGAATTTTTTTCAATCATTATGAACAAATCCCCTGTTTTTTTTTCTCGCTTATCATTTTACATCATATACTCACTTTTTCAGGCAGTATTACTCTTCAAGAAATATAAACTTTGGTCTTAAATAGGTCTCTACACTTCACCACACATATTTTAAAAAGTAGAAAATTATTTCAAAGTTGAATAGAGAGTGATGAATTTGTGTCAAAGTTTTAGTCACATTTTTTTTCAGTGACCACTACACATGCTGGATACATAAACAATAAAAAGGGACATTACAGTGCAGATGCTGAGTTAGAGGACCCAGGAGGTACCTCCATCAGAGTACCAAAGAAAAAAGGGACTGAAGTTGTCAAGTTTTAAAAACGCAACTGAACTTCTGATTAACCCTTTACACCCTACTATCAGTATCCATATTCTCCATACTTTTCTCCATACATTCTTGAAGTGCAGACAAGGAGAATTTATGTAACAATCAAGAGCTTCTTAAGTTGGTGATCATTTCCTTTATTCTTGCAACTTTAATAAGTGATTTTGGGGTGAATCTGTGAGGAGTATTTAGATGCTGCTCACTTGTTTCTCCTTTTTAATAAAGTTTTTGTCTTTGTGATAAAATGAAGCAGTCCTCTATCAGTGGATAGGAAGTTCATCCAATATAAAAATGTTCTTTTTAAAAAGGCATTGATACGCTAAAACAGTAAGTCCATTTTCACGTGGGAAAAGTAGTAAAAAATAAAGAAATTGTCACAATTTTACCAAACTTAATCGTATGCCTATTTTCTTTTTATATAAATGTCATTTTGGTTGTTTAGTGAGTTTTGACCCAAAAGAGGATGTTATCCTTTACTAGTTGTTACCGAAGGTTACTGAATGATAATTACTGTAGATCAGATTACCGGTTTTCGCGGTTTTTTACGAATTCCGGATGAGTCAGGGAAGTTGGAGATCACGCCCTTTTCAAGGTTGGCATGTTATTTTGAAAATAAGGGTCTTGGTTTTCGGGTCTTTGTTCATAAAACCAGGTTTTAATGCATGCTTTATCATTATTAAAAAGATTTAAAACTGGAGCTAGATATTTTTGGCGAAAAAAAAATCATGATAAATTAAGAAAATAGTGGGGTCTTTGTTTTTGGGTCTTTATTTTCAGGTCTTTGTTTTCGTTACAGGCGAAGGAAAAAACAAAAAAATGTGACTGGGTGTCATAAAGTGCACAAAATAACAAAACTTCCTAACGAATCTTAGTCTGAAAATCTCAAACGGAGTGAAGTGAAATACCGATGCACTCCAGACAAATGATTTTTTACTTCTTACTCGTTTTAATAAACCTTTTTCTCTAAATTACTCTCGACCGCTTGTTAGTTGATTTTCCTGGGGCTTTCCTACGAATAAAACGTCGAGGCCAGTTTATTGAAAGCCAACTGACAGGTGATTCAGTGAGAAGCCATTTAAAATGGCCCTAAGAAGCAAACAAAAAAAGAAAAAACAAAACACTGCACTGACATTTTATTTCACTTTCTTGAGATTTGAAGACTAAGATGTTGGTATCCCAAAGCACTCTATGCATGTATATGCAGAGAAAAATGTAGATTTTAAAGACGGAGCGTCGTTACTCGAGTTTTACGCACAAGCGAATAACAGACTGCTGGTTTACCATACCAGCAGAATGCGGCGCTTAAATTTCCAATCTAAAAATTCATTAACGATGGGAGTTGTGTTTTTCACTGGCAGACCTCACCATAACCCTCATGATAGATTTGTTCCCATGCGAAATTTGCTGACCAGTTCAGATCTCTAGTTCAGTAAGTCGCGGGCTCTTAAGATGCATAGCGTCTCTGATAGGCGTAAGTTCGAATGAGTTGTAGCGGAATGGGGATCCTTCAGAGTCGTTTGCCATCTTGATGTTGCGCCACTTAAGATCACATCCTGTGTTTGAGTCCTTTAACTCTCCTTTGATTGTTTTCGGTTGCTGAAAGAGAGTTTGTGGTGTCTGTGGTTTTTGAAACTTTGTTTTAGATTCTCTCTCTGTCAAGTCGATGTAGATGCTCGTGTTACCAGATGTTGTTGTGACAGCGGCCTCAGGGATGGTATCATTTGTCAGATATTCATCATTGACCAGAACAAGAAGATTAACCGTCCAAGGGTGCTGAGGGTAACTTAACAATAATTGCCATACTGATAGATCATATTATACGCAACGACTATAAGATTCCAGTTCCAATTTCATTGCTCGCTGGCTTAAAAGTCCAAAAGGAATCAGCAAAACTAGTTTGGAATGTGCCGATGACACGATATTTTTTTCGCGTAAATATTTAGCTTATCATATGTACAAACCTATTCCGATAGAAAAAAAAATTAAAAAAACTTGATGAAACGATCGCTCAAAGCACGATCACTACCTCAAGTGTCATTTACCGGAAGACGTCATGTCGAGAACATCTCGATGAATAACTTAACTTTACTCGAGTGAATGGACGGTTAAGATGTTTTTCTGGTGCTTGCTAGATCATGAAAGGCTCACAACGGATGTCAAGTCTCGATATTTTCGCAAAGCATTCAATCGATTGATCGTGATCGCTGGCTCACGTAGGCAAATGATTTGAAAATAGATTCGGAAGTCAACTACAGTCAAGTACCTAGGAACAAGGATCAGTCAATCTCCTTGTTTTTAATCCATGAATAATTTTGTTTCCCAATTTTCTAGAAACAAGTGGGTTAGTTTGAAAGCACGCACGTACTAGCATATATGTCTTGTCTTGAAGAGAGACATGGGTCAAGAAATGCAACAAAATACTTGACCTTTTCCTTCATCGTTGGAGGATTTACTTGATTTTGTTATGTACAATGTAGGGATGTCATCATTTCTTCAGATATGGCCATACTAAGCGTTTGAGACCGTTTCAGAAAGATTTCAGCGTGTTTCAGTACAACGAACGTGATATCTTCCCCCCCCGGTATTTAGATAACGACGTGACTAACACAGTTTATAAACTGTACGACTAACTAACGGCGTAAAATCTTACAGTATATAATATAACGATTGGAAGAAATTATGCCGTTAGTTACTGGCGTAAAATCTTACATAAATAAACTACTGACTGAACGAAAATAAAAATTACGGAAATAAAAATCCAAAATATTGATTGGCTTGCCTTCTCTTACGTCATAATACAATGAAGGCTTATCTTGTAAAATCATGTTCGATCGACCGGACGAGCGAAAGAAAGTAGCTGTTGTAACAAACAGAGCGGACTGGCTATCACTATGTCGAAGATCTGTATTTTGCTTTTACTCAGTTCAGTTGCTATCGCATTAGGGCTTGTTCCACCGCCTGGCGACCGAGGTAAGTAACTGTTTTCGTTTATGTCAAAATGTAGAAAATAGAATTCAAACTGGGCCATGAAAATTTAGGAATGGATGATTCGAAATTTTAGTAACTATTATGAAATTTCGAGGCTAGCTTTTTCTTTCTACTCTTTCAAAAGAATGTAGACTCGAGTTATAACTCAATGAACAATAGTCTTGCGTTCCGCGTTTTAATCAACGGTTGTAGAAGCACGTTCAGGTCCTACGATTTGGCGCCAGTCCAAAATAAGCTGTAGCACGTACGCATCCCGCGTGACGAATCATTTGATACGGCAACTGATATCTTAAATTGTTATTATTTGTTATAATTGATCTCTGCTTGATTTAAATGATGAAGAGGAGTGTTTAATGAATACTGACATTGACAGGATAGAAAAAGGTGACCTCCTTTTCCCTCTCTGGGTGATATCAAGTGTTTTACATGAGTTTTTGGGATATTTGATCCCCGCTCTTCACTGGCACCTGACTAAATACAAAGAAACTTGCACGAAACTTAAAAATACTCAAACTCATTCGCGGAAATCTTCACATGGATGGTCATTCGAAATCAATCAGATGTGCCTGTGAACACATTTTTTTTTTGTCCTGTTTGATTTCTGCGGGTCTGAAAGCTTTAAAATTTGTATGTGGAGTGTTTGGAAGCTCCTTTGTAACTGACACTTGCATAATTTTTCTAATTGACCGCGGAAAATGTATATTCATCTGTTTCACAGTTACTGGAAACAGATAACGTCATTCAAAAGAATCATGTCTGGCAAGGTTCTACACCGTCTTACTGACTATCTGAGATTTTAAGTAGGATTTTGGTTTCATTCACCTTTCCCCCTCCCCTGCTTCTTATAGCTACGCCTTCAATCCACATTTCACTTAATCATTTTTTTTTTACTTAAAGACAAACCGTGTGCGCCCTGTTCGTTACCATGGCAACTGGCATACTCGCATGATATCGACGGAAACTCAGTAAAAGGCTGGAAGTACTCGCTTGTTTCTGCTGTGTTGTCAGGTGCACGTGTGCGTGTCGTCATTGGGACAGGTTACAGCACTGAAGCCGACAATGTGCACGTGCATGGCGGCCACGTGTTTGCTCAGCTTCTACAACACGTCAGCAAGGCCTCATGGGATAGGTTTCAAGATGATGCTTATTGGTGGTGGGTAATGGTATCCACCAATGGAATTATGGAGATGACCAGGTACAACGTGGGCTCACATCGGCATCGTGGAACCAACAGAGTAAGAAGAAGCATTGAATGGTATGTACAATTGGCAGGTCTTCTTCCAAAGCCGTCTTATTCTCACCAGGCTAATGGAAATGGAGTCCAAGGTGTCTTATACGATCTCGAAAGCAACGTTAAAAAGGGTCAGGATATTCGCTGTGTCAGCAACAAACGGTATTCCTTCCCACTTCAGAATGTCGCCATTGCCTCCCAGGGTGAATACGTTTCTGGGCAAAGCTTGGACCACATAAGCAGTAGCACTAAAAGCAATTCTATAGGGTTTCAGAGCAATGCGTACTGGTGGTTTACTACGTTGACCACTCGTGGATCGCGTGACATGTCACGCTGGACTGTTGGAACCCACCAGGACCGAGGCCATAGCCAGGATACCGTAGCGATGGAGTGGTTTGTTGATGGCTGCTGGAAGGAAATCTTTGAACACGATGCAAATGGGAAGCCTCTTTCTGGATCACGCCAAGCACTGACAACAGCTATATTGTCCGGTCATCGTGTTCGCTTTCAGTTGCCTCAGTGGAATTACTACACAGCTGAAGCTGACAACCTTTCTGTGCGAAATGGCCATGTGACAGCGCAGGCTTTGAAACATGTTAGTAAGGCATCTTTGGCTAGATTCCAAGATAATGCCTATTGGTACTGGTTGATGGTCTCTACCACGGGAACCGTACGTGCGACAAGGTACAATGTAGGTGAACATAAGCATCGTGGCGATTCCACTGACAAGCTTAAGGTGAAGTGGTTCATCGACACAAGACCATGGGGGCAAGTCCTGTCGAATGATCCATCTGGTAATGTCGTAAACGGAAGTCGTACTCATCTGGTGCACGCTGTCAGGACTGGAGCAGATGTTCGCTGTGTGCAGGGAGACAGAAAACAAGGCTATTCATTTAAGGCTCAGAACCTGGCGGTGTCAACAGATGGAAACCATGTGGCCGCCCAAACTCTTAACCACGTGAGCATGCAGTCGGCACCCAATCCTAATGAGGTGATGATGCAGCCAAGAGCATACTGGTGGTTCACGATCGTTTCCACCAAAGGCCTGAGAGAGATGTCCCGCTGGACCGTTGGTAAACACGAGAATCGTGGTAAATCGTCAGATAAAGTTGGAACAAAGTGGTTTGCCAACTACTGATGCTCGATGATTCTGACTATGATATGGTCACACTTTGCTTTTTATAATCGAATCAGTTAAACGTTAGTGTTGCATTCTAGAATATCATATCAGGTAGAGTAGCGCTCAGGAACTAGATTACAACTAGATTGCAACTAGGTTGCAATTAGATTGCAACTAGATCAAAATAGATTCAATATTCCCACTTAAAGTCTCGTAAACAATGCCGAGGGGCATATTTTTTGAAAAAAAGATGAGCAGTTTTTTGTTTTGAATCATTTTTATCTATTAAAACATGTGACATATCAATCTGAGTTGCACTTTCTTAACTGGGCCATACTCGGATTAAGAAAGTTAGGGGGTTGTTACCCCGCCAGCGCACGCTTTTAATCCCCGCCCCTCTGCCCTTGTTAAAAATAGGCTCCACCGTCCCTGCGCGATTGTTCATTTCACAATAAAATACAGAAAAAAAGCCATGGCCTCAACGCGTGAAAACGCCAACTGCTATTTTAATCACGATTTGTTTTAACTTTTCGAGTATTTTGAAAGATCTATCGAGCATGGTGAAAACCAATCCTAATTTAAAATTTCTTTTAAACTTTTAAGTTTATTTTTTTACAAGCTCGATTCATTTCTGTAAGTAAACCAAACACATCGCAAGGGTGGCATTACCATAAGGGAGTTCACCATCTCCTAAAATAAGGTTCGCAAAAATAATTTGGTTTCTCCGCCGAATATGCAAACAGACCAAAGTGGTTCGTCACTTGGGAGACGATTACATGACATAGCAGACAATAAGGAATATAATTATTTAAACTTGCAGAAACTTCATTCGTGCGACCTTGTTTAGATTCCTGTATTGTTTGGAGATCACATAGCCCCAGTGGCAACTTCCATATATTTTGAAAATTGGTTCCGACGTGAAAACTCAGCAGAAATGTTCAGATCATCTGAAAATTTCGACGCCCGATGCGCTTCGTGCGTGAACAATGCTACCTACAGGACTCCTCCACAGGAGAAGAGGCCATTTCTACTCACCCTACCCTTACCTAAGTTTAGAGTATCGAAATCGTCGGGCAAACATGGCGGACTTCACTCTTTGCTCCTTAGCTACTGACATCTTACTGTGTTAACCAGACAACTCAGGTAAATTGATATCCATTCCAAGTTCGTATGTGCTTAAAGCAATACGTTCCTTTGTCTCCTTTGGGATAAAGTTTGCTATTGTTTCAAAAGAGTTTTGGAGGTAGCGTTCGTTCATTTACGTCACGGAAATTTAGCTAATGTCTAACCGGACCAAAACTTGTGATGCAAAACCTTTTCTATTTCGTGTTTAGCTGTGGCTGTTTTCTCTCATACATTGCTCTATTATAGATTTTAAAGAAAAATGGCCTTTCTTCGTTGTTTGTGAAGTCTTGAAACGCTATGTTATAAACTGTTAGCACATAGCGATTTAAGTGGAGCAAATTATTTGGAGTAGCACTCTCGCAAGATGCTTGGTGTAATGGCTGTGATTATTTACTGCCCATTTTGTGAAGTCAGCACAGTTGAACGTTTACCCAAATTAATTTTAAAAAGATATCTTTTAAGCTTTCGTCGTGCAGGTTATTCTAAGTGTTGAAAAATTGCCGAAAATTCAGCTGTTTTAACGCGAAGGGATAAAACTGTGACGAACTACAGTTGTTTCTGTGAGGTGTTTTAAACCCGATTTCGTCTATGTTTTTTGTCCTTTACTGTCTTGATTTATTTCTTGGTATTTGAAGATGGTACAAATCAAACAATGCTATTCTTTTCGTCGAAATTGGTCACCCACATGAGTTTAATTTTACTTCCGGCTTTTCTTTTGGAAGCGATTGTTTCTCTTTTCGTCAAAGCCGAATTTGAAAGAAATCGGGAAAACAATCTTCAACATAAGAGTTATTTAAAATTTTGGTACCCAGCGTGGCATTTGAATGGATTGACTCTAAGTTTATGTCTGAGATTCAGAAATACAGAAAGGGTAAATACTGAAAATAGCATGATCATGAGCAAACTCAGTGTTCAATAATGTTATTGATAAGCTAGTAATCTTTGATATTTTGTGGTGATAAACCACATTATATGATGTGATTTTTCGGCCAAGTATTTACTGACACTATTGGTCAACATGGATTCATGGTATTCATCAAATGATTTGTATTGAATTAAGCTGTCAAATATCAAGTTTTTTTGCGATCAAATTATCATCATATTTTGCTCAGATAAATGCCAGTGTGAATTATTTATTTAGCCTGCATAGCAAGGCACTGACAGGGAAAATGTAAAAGGGGAGAATAGGGAGAGGGAAATGAACCTTAATTCTTCTTCCACATTTCCCTTGAGGCCTCTTCTTCTTCCACATCTGGGGCCTGTCACACATACTTTAGTCTGTGCCTTTTTTTTTGTCCCATAATTTACAGATGAACCATTGACAAGGTTACAAGAAAACATCTTTGGTGTACAAGTTTGTGTACCTGTGTGAGAGTAGTGCAAAGCCATGGAAACTGGAGCTCATGATGGTACTTTAGAAAATTCTGATACTAGTGATGTGATCAAAAGTTTGAGTCAAAAATTTTCACCAGAAGCATTGCAAAGTGCTTTGAAACTTGCAGTGGCTATGAAGAATGCTTCTCAAGAGGAATGTGATTCTGTAATGAGGTCGACATCCCAGCCAAATGAAGCACTAGATTCTGAGGAGAAACCGTCCTTAGAGGTTGACCGTTGTGATAATGATAATGGCCTTGAGAAGCTTCAACAATTATCTGAATTATTAGATCAAGTTGATGAGGTCAGGAAAGTTGAAGAGGATAATAGTGAGAGAGGCAGTGTTGTCATTAACGGACTGGGAGAGGGTAAAGACAACCATATAGCAGATGAAAACGCAGCTACTGATGATAATTCTTATGAAACAGAAGTTAGAAGTGTCTTCACTACAAAGGATGATCAGAGGTTTTCTGAAGTGGCTGATGAAAAGGACAAGATAGAAGATCAGATTAGATTTGAAGATGATGGCAATATTGGTGATTGTGTCACAGCTGTAGCTATTGATGATGTTAATGCCTTATTGGATGGAAAGGAGGATTGCAAAAATGACTGTGTTACTAATGAAAACTCAGCACATCAACTCAGAGAGACCACCAGTAACAGTTGTGTTAATTCTGTCAACAAAAGCATTGTCACTCCAATTGGAGAGCAGATGTCTGAATTTCCATACAATGATGAAAGATTTGCAATAACATCGAGTACTGCACATGAAAATTCTGAGAGTTCCTCAACAGGATGTGCTAGTTCAAGCGAAGATGAAGAATTACCTGAGTTATTGCAAGGCAAAGCTGAGGATAGTTTCTCTGAGATTGAAGATGTAGATGGGAAAGAGCCTGTGGGAGTTGTTTCTGTGGAAAGTGAGACCACTGAAGCCTCTGTTCTAGAGGGAACACTTTCCATGTATCATGCATCTTCTGTGCCCCAGTCAGAAGCTGTGGAATATGATAAATCCAAAGAAGATTATGCTGAATCATCATCTTCATCAGATGAAGATGAAATGGTGTCATCTACACATTCTGTGGTGGCATCAAGTGAAAGTGACCTATCAGAGGCTGTTGTACCAAGTGGGTCATTAGCTAATCAATCAGAAAAGTTGAAAGGGAATGCAAAGCAATTGGTTGAAGAGACCCAACCCTCCTTGCTAATGACGGGATTTAAGGATGATGAAGTTGCTGTTAAAGATGATGAAATGATTCCTGAAGAACCTCCATATGTCACTGCCCCAGTCTTAGAAAGGATGTCATCATTGTCTTCAACAGGCACACAGACATCACTTGAAAACCTGAGCCTTGTAAAAGATCCGATACTTTCCGCCCATGGAAACCTTGACAGCATCCTTAATGGCAAAGAGCATCACACATCAAAACTTCCTTTCTACTACCAACCACAGATTGTCATGCATGAAGAGAAACCTGTTTTAGTGCTTCAACCTGTGCCATCATCAACCTCTTCATCAAATGGTAATGCCAGTGTTCCAGGGCTAGAAAGTAGTGCATTTAATGCTTCACTTCCAATCATTTTACCTTTAGCCTCACCAAGCATTGATAAGAAGACAAAGGAAGCACTTTTTCAGAGAATGAGCCAGGCAGGTACATTTCTTGTGGACAAAGATGATGTTGAAGAAGGTGATGCTAACGAGAAAAATTATCTCAGTGGTTTGTTATCAAGAGCAATTTCTATCATTTCACAACCAAATGGCAAAGAAAGTGGGGAACATTTACTGGACTCCAAAGGGCATGACAAACCTACAATCAAGATTCCAGCAACAGAAAAATATTCAGAACACCAAGATGGAGGGAAATCTGAGGGATTACCAGAATGGGTGGCTTCATCCGAACTTGACAAGGCTTTCTCTGCAGCAGCAGAGAGAATGTCTCCAACAACAGAACAACAATCACCTGCCATACTTGCATCTCCAAGCGTCAGCTTCCCAAGTACCAATCCTTTTGCTAAAGACTTGGTCGTTCAGAAATCTGGACATTATGATGTTGAAGCAGATAGCTCATTAAACCCTGGTATGGGAGAACCACCACTATATTCTTTATTTGGTCCTCCAAGTTCGCCAACTGTACTTCAGGGTGCAAGACCAAAGGAATTCAGGGCTTACCAGGATCTTGGGATTGGTGACAGTGGAACAAACCCATTCACTCCAGATCCTCCAAAGAGTACCAAGCAAAGAAGAAGACATGAGCAAAAGTCACCCAGTTCTGCTGAAGTGGTAGTTGCTGCTGAAGTGCATTCTTCTGAAGGCCACCCTGGAGAGATAAATGGAGTCTCACACAGATCTCCTAGACGTAGACTGTCAAGTGAGTCCATGGTTACACTGATCGAGACATCATATCCTGACACATCTGCTGATTATGTTGAACCACCTGGTATAGATGAAACATCAAGAGCAACCGAAAATCCTCAACTACAACAGGAGAGAAACGAAAATAGCCATGTTGTACAAAAACCACAAAAGACACTGCAGGAAAGTGGGGAAATCCATTCAGATACTAAAAAAGTCAAGCCCAAGACAAAAGTGGTAAGTTTATAATATATTGTCCAAGGTAGCCCATTTTTATGCGAGGGTTCTCCTCAAGTTGATTGTTTTATTGAGTTTATTATGGGAATATTTAGCATCTTTTTATTGTAGCTGGTATCAAACATGCAAATTTGCCTTTCTTACAACCAATGGCTTTTATTTCAAGAATTTATTGAAAAGTGTTCTCATTATAATTTTTCTTTCTTCAGATGTTTGAAAGAATTCTCTATCTGGTAAATTTTCCAAAAGCAGCAGTCTCTGAAAGTCATTGAATGAAACACGTGTTATTGAATGATACAATTTAGGCAATCAGATATAATGAACCTTTTAAGTCCAAAGATCCAACCCTTCTGACTGCTATGCATTTTGTTGTAAATTATATTGGAGGATTTGGTGTAATATCAAGGTGACACCCTGAAGTTGATAGGTTTGTTTGTTCACATTACCCTTTGGCAAGATGAGATATTGGAATCACAAGGACAAGTTACATGTAAATCACTTTTGGGATTAAAGGGTCAGGAAAATAAAAATTTAGATTAAATTTTAGTTTATTGACTTAATGTGTGACTGTTTGATTACAACTGTGTCGTCTAATGGGTGGACTGGTTCAGGAAATTACATCAAGTATTTGATTGTATGAAGTTGAGATATCAAGAAAAATGGTGTTGTTTTTTGTTCTTTTTTTTTCTAGCCTGGGAAAGTGGCCCCTTTCTGGATACCGGACTTTGCCTGCACCAAGTGTACTGGCTGTAAAGTAAAGTTTACACTTTTTATCAGGAAACATCACTGTAGAGGTTGTGGAAAGGTAATCAACTTTTCAACTCTGTGAGATAAAGATTAAGAAAGATTATCATGGGCTAGTTTCTCTAGCTATGGGGCATCCTTGCATTAGGAGTGCTACCTCTTCTCAAAGCTCTTAGTTATCTGTTAGCCCTTGGAACCCTAAACCTGACTAGCTTCTAATTTCTCCATGTAGTATCGCCCCTGAATCACACATTAACCCTTTAAATCCCAAACCTGATCAACATGAAACTTCTCCCTAACATATCCTTACAATACCTTGTAAACAGCTAATGAGAATATTCAAATTTATTAGGTAAAAGTTGTTGTCTTGATCTAACACCAAGTTCTCTTAACTAATTTAGTAGGAAATATGTAGCAGCTAGAGGGGAGAGTTACCAATCAGATCTTGGGAGTTAAAGGGTTAAGGTCACAAGAATAAAGGAAATGATCACTGGCCAAAGGATTTCTTGATTGTTAAACAAATTCTCCTTGTTAGCATTCAAGGAAATATTTAGAGAACAGTATGGAGAATATACACAATGATGTTAGGATGTAAAGGGTTCAAGGAGCTTAAAGTAATTTTATTGATGGTGACCCAGTAACCAAGAAATACAATTGCCCAGTTCTCTTCTGCAACGTGGAGCTTGTCACAATTGATGAAGATAATTGTACAACAATTGCAATGGAATTTTGTGATATGAAAAAGTATTGACATAGTATATGTATTGTTTTTCTATTAACCAGATATTTTGTAACACCTGCTGTTCACAATTAGCCAGATTTCCCTACCTGGAGTTCAAAATTGGTAGAGTTTGTAAGTCATGTACCAAGGCAATAAAAGAAGGTAATTTCCTGAATAATTTTATCGTAATTTGTGTGAAATCTGGCACAAATGGTCCAACATCCTTCTGAATCTTGAATGTGTTGTTGATAAGATTGATTTCAAGGGCATGTGAACTTTACTTGTGAGGGTTTCTTTAGCATGGAATGAGTTTATCTCATTCTATTGCCCTGAAGTATTCACCAAATTCTCCTTATCAATTACAATCAAATGTTTAGTAGCCAGATTGGAGAATTTCTCAGATTGGAGAGGTACAGAGTAATTATCGCCGTTAAATTTTTTTTCTTAGCAACTCAGTTGAAGTCAAAGGAAGACGCATCCAAACAAGAACAGTTGCGGCAACAATCAGACTCGCCAGCTTCAATCCAGTATCCAAAGGGGTTGTCCCAGAGAAATGTAGTGACCAACGCAAACGGACAAGGAAATTCACCATTGCTTCCACATAGTTCAGTCTTGCCTGCAGGAGTTGTAGCAGCGAATATGCAGCCACAGAGGAACTCACTTCCCCTTGCACAAGGTCCAAGGACAGCCACGACGTCCAGTGGGCTTGTGCCAGTAAATCAAGGGTTACAGGGAAGTGTTTCAAGCCAGTCTCTTCCGTATCAGCCATTAACATGGCCACCAGAGTCTTCCGGGAGAGTTCAATATAATACAACACCATCACAACCTGTTGTGCCCTCAAATAACCCTTTACAAGGATCCCAGAGTCATACCAGACCTGCTCAGCCAGCTAAACAGTACATGTGGGTGCCTGCTTCTCAGGTTCAACAACCAGCTGTACCAGTTGTTTACATGAATCCTGTTGCACCTAATTTACAAGGGGGACCCATGTTGATGACCTATCCACCAGGGCAGCAGTTCATTCCGCAGCAGGCTCCAGTTATGCTGCTTGCTAACCAACCATCTTCTACTTCATCCTTGGTTCGGACAACTGAAGCACCTAAGACCTCGAGTGACAGTTTGAAAGGCACAGTCCCAGTTTCAAACCGATCTCCATCTGGGACAGTGACAACTTTTAGTGTCTTGCCACAACATGTGGGACAGAATGCGGTCCTTTCTGCTCAGGGCTACAATACTGGAACTGTGAAAACAACAACAACGACGACGACACCAACAACAGCCGCAACTATAAATAATCAAGTTTCCAGCAATTCAAGTTCAGCTCCCTCAAGTCAAATACAACCTCCCTCGTCACAGTCACTTCAGAAAACTATCCCAGAACCCGGTGAAGAGGCTCTCACTACAAACCACAGCCTTCCTTCTACTTCTGCACTTGATCACACTCCTTCTCATGCGATTACCACCACTTCACCATCTCTAAGGGTATCCTCTTCTGTGATGAGCAGCTCAAGCGGAGACCATCAATCTCAAGAAAGTCTTAGCAGAATCCAACGTTCAAGGCAATCGGATGGTAGTGTTCTTGTTACTGATGAAACAGACCCAAGCACTAAAGAAATCAATCTACCGTTTAGAAGGGCAGGAAGGACCATTACGTGGCGTCACAGAACTCAAGGAAAGAGCAAATTACAAGAGCAGAAGAAGTCTTTAGCAAAAGATTTGAGAGGTTAGTGTTGCCACTCGTAAGGAAGGGACAATTATGACTATGTTTTTCATCGTCTTTTGAATCTGACATTAAACAATTCTGTTCATTTGCTCTGACGAAGGGATAAGTCTCAACATGTCAGCCTTTAAACTCTTTACGGTGGCCAATTTACGTTATGTAGTCGGTTGATAATATATAGATTTAGCCAAGCATTATAGTGGAGCTCGCATTTTTTTTCCCGCACGTCTCAAAGGGCACAACGCCTTGCCCCGGCCAGGACTAGAACCCGGGTCGTCCGACTCGGAGCCCAGTGCACTGACCACTGGACTACTGAACAAAGCCGTAGCGTTGGCGTGCCCGCGGTACAGTTGACCACGCTTGTTAAAAGTAGCACCTTGTACGGTCGGTCATACGGTCGTACATCCAAATTTTTTCGGCTTGATGGGTTACTACTATTTTGTATAATTATGGGGCTACGCTCTGCGAGCTCCGCTAATACTAAATTACCCTGTTATACTCTCCCACCGACGCAGCATCTCAGTTCAAAAACTTTAAACTTTAAAAACTTGCCCTCTTAACAAATTATCTATTCCCTCTGATAATTAAGGTGAAAGGAAATAGTTTTCAGTTTATGATGAAAATATACTTGGAAATCGAAAGTTGTTGAATCTCTAAATTTTTCGGTTGTTTTCTTGACGCTTCAGACCTAACCGATGGCATAACAGTTCAGACCACAGCAGACCTCCTCGTTCACGTCAAGAAAATGAAATGTAAGTCTCTGTTATAGAGTTAGTGTAGTCTTAGCCTACGATTCCATTGTATTTTGAGGTTATTTGGGTATTCTTAACTAAGCTTTATAATTTTTTTGGTTATCTATTTTGATTCAAAAATGTTACTTTTTTACAATATTACAAGAGAGTAAGGAAAACTCCCTCACCCCGAAATTTAACCATCCAGAAAAAAACAAAACAAATCCCAATACATACTTTTCTGCCGCAGTGTTTGATCGTAGTTAGACTATTTTTTTTTTTTTTCGTTCCAGTAAAAGAGGGAAACAAAATCATTACAGTGTGGTGCTACCAGAGTGAGGGTCTCACCAAGTTTAATCACTTGGAGGTAGTGGTTTTGTTGGAAATACGGAAAAAGGAGGAAATCTTTCCTGAAGAAGTTTTGCGGGTCTATAGAGGCATTTTACATCTTGCTTCAAAATTGGGTGAGTACTTCACAGCAAGGATATACCTAATGACGTTGTCATAGGAAAAAAGCAAAGACATAAGAGGAAAAAGCCAAATAGGAACTTTTTAGCATAATACGCTACCATCTGGCCATGTGCCCAACAACCGAACAATTTTCACAGAATCTCCACAAAAAAAAAATTATTTCAAACTTCTTGGAATATCAGATATTGTTTGAAAAATTCGAAGCGATTCCAAAAAGTAAAAAAGAAAATGACATGTTTATGGCGTCTGTTATATGCCTATAAATTCGACTTTGGCTTTATCCCTCTTCCTTTTTCTATTTTTTATGACAACGTTACCGCTGCAATAAGTAGTATTACTTACCAATCGATTATCAGTAAGGGTTGAGGAAAGCAGAAAAGTAACCACGGACAGACCAGCACGGACAGCGCTAAACACTGTTTTCCGACCCAAGAATCAAGAACGTTCGCAACGTCAACCGTTCAATATTTCAAATCAACATTTTGTTTATAATCGAATGACTCACTAAGTGTGTCACTTACCAGCCGACGCAACTTAATAGTTTCCTTAAAACTGATAACTCTGCTCAAAAATCAGCAAGGGTCAAAGGAACTGCGATTTCCTCATGGCCCGTGTATTTATTTGTCTAACTTGGTTTGTTTGTCTTGTTAGATTATCGTTTTTACCATTGTAACTATTTGTCGAGCAACAACCAGTTTCTTGACAGTCCAGATGATGCTGGTTTTATTCTTGTCTCCAGTGAACTTAAGGTGAGAATTAATTTAGAGAATAATAATCACCGCCGCCTGGTAAGCTTGTTCTAGGTGTTCACTTTGTAAACCGGGGCGAAATTGTAAACAGCGCGATAGTAGCGGGGGAATGAAAACGAGGGACTCGACCCAAGCCTCACTCCTTCTTTAAGTCTTCCGGTACTATCGCGTCGTTTACTATCTCGCTTCGTTCTAATTCCTAAACGCGTGGAACAAGCTACCGCCTGGTCAGCTCAGGTTGAAGAGCGCCAGGCTACCGTGTGGTCACTGTCCCAGATGGAGAGGGCCCAAGCTTCAGACGGGACTTGAGATAACTGAGGAGAATTTTCTGCCTTTGCTATAACATCTGCAAATGGTTAGACGTTGGAATCTTCTCAGACGAGGACGATGAACTGAAGGCCCCGTCTCCTGCCCCTTCTCTGTGCTGGTTAGCAGGGGACGTTAAAGAGCCCACGCACTTCTCTCAAAGAGTAGTGCACTTAGGTCCCGTTATTGTGGTTCGGGTTTGATTCCAAAATTTTCAAAATTGGGGGCAGCTACAAAGTTTCCTTTCAAAATTGTAAACTGCTTATTAAAGTCTGGTCAAAGACCTCGCAAATTGTTGTGAAGTAGATCAGAGTCTCATCATAATAATATCAATAATATGGATAACAATAGTTATGATAATAATGAGAAAAAAGGAAAACGGGAGAGGAGAGGGCTGTCACCTTAGGGGCATCTTATAATTGATGTATATTTATATTAATACGTTTTATTAAATGTGCCATTACAGCCCAAACCTATGGGATTAAAAGGAATCACGACACCTTTCTTGTACGGAATCCTGGTAAAAAGGTCGGAACTTTCTGCTGCCATGTTTACACCAAGCAGGCTTCTTCTTCGATTGGGAAATCAAATGAACAGTAAGTTCAAGGGAGTAATTCCGCTTTACATAAGTGGAGTACCATTCGGTTATCGACTAGTGTTGTGTTTAAGTAGTGAACAACGTTTTTAAAAAACGTGAAAAAACTTTAATCGCTAGACTCATACCTCTTGCTTACTGAACTAAATCCAACCTTATGTAACCTAAGTATCATGGATAACTAATTTTATTTGCACAGCTACTTACATAACATTACGTGACGAAAGGTGATCACAATAAATTATTCGCAAGTTAACACAAGTTCGAGGCCTATTTACAATCAACACCACAATTGGTCGTTGGCTGATTTTGAAAATAACTTAAAATGAAAAGCGGTGAACAGGAGTGTTACTCGCGTTTGCTCTTTAACACCCACGAGTGACCAAGATGGAATTTCTCCTTGCAATATCAATACGATATCAAGCAGACAAGAGACGAGAATAAAGAAAAATGTCAATTAGGGAGTTCCTAGTTGGTTCAATGCCAAATTCTTTTTATTATTACTCTATGAGAATTGTCTAGCAGACAGTAAGGAGAGTTACTAATTAGATATTGGGAGTGAAAGGGTTAATATACGTCGGGAAGGTGCCTGCAGGGCTTCAATTGTCGAAAGTCCAAAAAAACCCTCAAATGGTGTTTAGTCTGTGAATCGCTCGTTTCAGTAGATTCACCTTAGATATCGGGTTTTGTGCAAATCTACCTTGGTTATAACAGAGCTGAGGTTTATCAAGTGAATTCCTGTCTTGAAATCGATTATCCACTATTATTATGATAATAAATTAAAATGGAAAAACTGCGAAAAGAGTTTTACTCGTATTAAGTTGTGTCAGAATAGTGCGTACAAGGTCTGTGAAGCGCTCAGTCTTTTCAGTACAGTAGTTGCACCTCAGATATCGGGTGTTGTAGAAATCTACCTTGGTTGTAACAAAGCTGAGGTTTATTGCGTTAATTTTTTTTAATTCATAAGCAATTTCTTTAGGGAAATTTCGGTGAAAAAGAGCGGAGGTTCGCGCGTAATCCGTAAAATTTAGAGAGTCAACAGACCCAAAGGGTGTTATTGCACAAATACATTCTACAAACTTTTACGTTGTTGCCTCTTATGTCAAGACGCGGTACTCAGTTTTGTAAAGATTATTGTTTTCCAAACAGCTTAAATAGCGGTATTTGTTTCTTAAACAGGTTACCCGTTTCCTGTGTGGAATAATCGAGACCGAAGGCCAATATTTCTCGGTAACGAGCATGACGACAGATTTTTTCACACTGTGTTTGCCATGAACAAATACTTGGTACGTATGTTACATTTTCCGTTTGTTCTTTACAGATGACGACTTTTTATTCAGAGCGCAACCACAATCACGAGCGCGGTCTGAAAGAGGTTTGAAAGGTGTCTGGCATTTTCAGTGCCAGACCTCCGGCAAACTCTCCCGCGACTCGTCTCCATTCTTCCCATAGGCGGAAACGCGCGTCCAGCAGCGCTGACATTGAGGGTCTACTCACAGGCTATCGTGCGTATTGCTGGGAAGGAGGGTAGGGCTACACGTAGGCTAGGATCAGCAATGTAGAAAGCGCCACGTGAGTAAATAGAATGAGACAGGTGATGATTTTTCTCTTTCTTTGTTTAATTTATTTCGTATTTCCTTTCCAGAAAAACGGCGTGCCCGAGGCTATGATTCCTGGCCTGTATGTGATTAAGGAAGGAAACAAAATTGTCTTACAGATCCCCAAAAGTGGGCAGAGCGCGGTATGTTTATGTTTCCATAGTTATCCGTTGAATTGTGTAATTCTCCCAAGAACAAATTCTCCTTGTCAGCACCCTAGGAAATGTATAGAGAACAGAATGGAGAATTTGTATATTGATGTTAGGGCGTAAAGGGTTAAAGGAGCCGTGTTGCGTTTCGGTGCGTCCAAAAACGTTTCCAAGTTCGCCATGTGCAACCCGTTTCAATGTTCTCCTTCTTTACCATTGGTTTTTATTGAAGCTACTTTTGCACGTTTGCGCGTCATGAAAAGGTCGCTGCTGCTTCTGTTGCTCCTCTACCACGCACAATACCAATTGTAGTCTACTTCGCAGCTTTTTTTTTGGCATGTCACGCACTGCCCCCCCAAAAGAAGAGGAACGTTGCGTGACACTCCAGACACGACCGTCATAAAGATTAACTCATTGATTACCATCTCAATTCTCCCAGGTTGTGGGTCTCTTGGATCGTCTGATAAAGAAGGAAGATCAAACAGCCACTGTGCCTCTTTTGGCTGACATACCGCCATATTTGGATAACTGTAAGGTTGTGGTTTGCGGTGAAAACGGGAAAAAGACAGTGAAATCGTTCGGAAACACAAATAACACTTCAGGTAAATAGATAGTAAACTTTACGTTGATAATTCTCTCCTTTAAACTGTTCGCGCACTGATCAATCTTATCTGCTCACGATATTCAAGTGAACGATGGCTGAATCTTGATCCATATTACTTTTCATCGGATGTTAGCTGTGAGATTATTATGAATATTACATACCTTCGGATAAAAGAGTTCTTTCTTTCATAGGGCCGCGCGCTCGAGAATCCACGCTTTTAGAGCATTCAAGGGTCGCGCGGCTCACTCGAGAATTCACTCTTTCGATTCGGCGTTGTTACGGAAAGGTAAAAAAAAACTACAAACAAACACACGAGGTTTTTTTCACAATCTAAATAATTGGTTTTGCTTCTCAGTTGTAGGTCTGAGTTTTGTGTTGCTTCATCTCGGAGTTGATGCTTCCTCGCCTCTTAACTTTGGAGGGGAGCTTTTGGACGGTAAGGGTGAAGGAATGAGATAGACAGCACATTGTGGGGTATTTAATGTACAAGGGTGTCCTAGAGGGGAACCATTCTATTATATACACTGAAGTTTTTTAGAAGGATTTCCAGCCACGAGAAAAGCCGTAACTGCCCACGTGTACAATTATGATTATTTTTTACGTGTGTTTGATATCAACAATCAGCTGCTAACACGTCACTTACCTTCCGCAACACTCTCTCAGGTTCACTGATTAACAAATAAAACTTTTCCTGTCAGTAAAGGCCTAGGGTGTTTATATAACAAACACATTGATAGGTGATGGCTTGAATATAAGGAGTTTCTCTTCTCGTGTTCATCTTATATCTCACTCTTTTGCTAGGCTCACTCGTGAGCTATCGTGTTGAACCTTCGAAGAGAAATTCCATATCTACGCACTCTTATGATATATTACTGCCTGGTTACAAGTGTAATGGGAACTGGTAATGATGAAAAATAAAATTGTGTCTTCCTCTCAGAGGATATGCTGGGTTACGGACCTCTTTGTCGATCAAAATTGAATATCAATTGGTTGGGAGAACTACTTGATCTTCTTTTCGTTGTTTGAAGCTTGGGGTAAGATTTAACATTTTTCATTTGCAGATGGCGTCCTGATTTTCTTCTCAAAGGCTCACACGCTTAAGCTCCGACAAAGCTTGCAAGGGAAAACCAATTGTTATTTCTTTCTGGGCGATAAATTTGATATCGCTCATTTTGAGCTTCGTTGGATGGCAGACGTTAATTATCACGTGTTACCGTCACCGTCCCAAAACAGCCAACATTATCCTATGAGGACGACCACTGAGGATACGACACCAAAAGAGCCTGGGACCGCCTCTTTTCCAGGCCACGCAACCATCAATGTTCAATACTCGGGATTTGGAGACGAGGTTGAACTTTTGAGAAAAGTGTTTGACGACTACGGCAAGATCCTGCGAGTCTTGGAAGGAGACATTCGTCAAGCATGTACGGAGCCACTCATGAAACACTCCAAAAAAATGAAAGCAGGCGACACCGAGGAATTGCAGTTGCGTGTTGTGCTCAAACCAAGTTACAAGGTAAGAGAAGCGTAATGAAAAGTGCAGTGCTCGCAACATCTTCTTCGCTAGCCTATCGGGCACTGAGACTATATTTTGTGAATAGTTTTTGTATGAATGATTCTTTTGTGTAAACTGTCAACTTTCCAACAAAGGTGGAGCGAGGAACTTTCGAATTTTGACCTCTAAGTTGTGATCATGATTATAATAAACTCTGGTTTCAACTGCCTTTACTGATTTACTCAACACGTGGCATTCTTCTATTCCTGTATAGAAATGGTCTGTAGGTCCCAGTAATTTGCCAACAGCTTTGATCCGGTCTCTTCAAATGGTTCTTCATACGGTCAAGGTTCCCATGGTCTTTGAGGGAGAACTGGTGATGAGTTTCTATGTCAGTGTTCTTAAACAGTAGTATTCCTTAGTGGTACGTCCATGTTGCACTTGAAACGTAAGGAAAACGTTTTTAACTGGTTATAGCATTTATTAAAAAGTAGATATTTAAGATAAATTTACATGTGTAGATGAAAGAGTAATCTTGGTAACCAAGTAGTGACCTTCAGAGAGTTATGTAGAAATTGTGTAATTATGTTTAGTTATAAGGATAGTGTAAATGTTGCCTTTTGATGGCTGGTCTCATTTATCTCCGTCCAGGTCAGGCAAAGCTCAAAAAAAATTATAATGCAGTTATTCAAAGATATATAAATATCATTGCGGCCCAGAAAATACATAACACATATCTGGCTGTTCGTAAAAGTGTTGTTCGTGATATCTAAGAAATCTCTGCAAAGTTGGTGCCTGCAATGTTGACTGGGTTTCTCTGCAAGAAGATAAATAGATGGTTGATCTCGCTAAGTTAGAAGTTAAATGATAAAAACAAAATGATTATCTGATTATTTTTGTAGCGAAGTAAATAGTACTCGTCTGTTTCGAACTTTTGATAAAGCCATTTATTTGTTCGGACGTATACTGCCTATTACTGCAGGGATTTTTTCGTAGATAGAATTGTCCCCCCAATCTTTAGCCCCGTGACTAACTTACCCAACCAATCACAAAAACCCAGCCTCGAAAATGAAGCTTGTGAAAGATACAACCCTTAACGGGTGGGAGGGGTAAGCTGTTTTTCCCCATACCAGGTTCATAAAAGTTACGTATAGTTTACAGTTTAGTGTGTAAAGTTTGTTAATCAGCGTTGTTCGACAACCATAAAAGTTTAAAGGAACTTTTAAATTTATACAACGTTTCTAAGTTTATCACACCTCACATGAAAGGAAGGACTACACCCTAAATAATCATGAGGTGGGTACTTGAAGGGAGGGTATTTCCTGATGGCCCTTTCACTGCAGTGATCCGACAGGTAACTGTCCGTTTTAGTTACCATAGGTTTTTTTTTGTAACATGTTTAAGAGAATCAATGTCATTATCTGCCTATTGACAGAGTGAAAGGGCCGGACGGGAAAATGTTTGGCACGAAGTCGTGATGTACTTCATGTTCGAGTGTCCAGCTTTCCCTCCCAGTTAAATATCCCACATTATGTGACAGCCGGTCTTTCTTCGTTCTTGCATTTTGCATTTTGCATTTTTCAGGGCCGTAAACATGGCTATATGGCTTTTTCCGGCCGTACTTATTCCATCAAGTATGGCCCACTTATGTTAAATTAAGATAATATTCTTCAACTAATGTGTTTGTCTTATCTTACTACCTTTCTGATAGATTTTGTATTGGTGTTGTGAGAACTAACAAGTTAATCGCTTTTGCTAATTGATGAGACAATCAAACATGCAATAATAGACATAATAATGAAAAGCTGGCCTATCGAACGCCAATATTCTGACCTACAACTAACCTGCTATCATGAAAATGACACCAATGGGTCTGAAATGATTTACAAAGCTATGAATGTAAATTCTGTAAAAGAAGACTTCAAGTAATATGTTAGCTGTGGGTGGATTGTTAGGCACAGTGTGAGCCCGTTTTCAGCCGTCCGATAGGAATGATCTTCTCTGAAGGAAATTTGTTATGGATTAACCAGTCTATGTGATTTTTTTTATCCTTTTATTTGTCAACGGTCGGTTTCTTGTTGTCGTCAGTACCTGAGCCATTCCACTCCCAACTTCGAGTGGGAGTGGGGTGGGAAGAGGGGGAAGGGTTGGAGCTGGGGATTGACATCATCTCTAGACAATTGTCCAAGCTTTGATGACGTGCTAACCAAAGTGTCCTCACATCCTCCCTCTTCTCTTATTCGCTGTCTTTTCATATACCTGTGTTTCGATTTGCAATCGTCAAATTCGTCGTTAAAATATTTCTCCATTACTTAATACCTTTAAATCCTAGTGTCTCTAGTGATTCAACCTCCCTGTCTTCATCACCCCACCCCCACCCCCACCCTTGTTGTCGTCACCCCCACCCCCACCCCTTTCCACTCCTAATTCGCGGGATTTTTCGCTTCTGAGGGACACTGGGAACAACAAGCTGACCTCTGTCCGAAACCTACATTTGCGTATGAGTACGATTAGGAAAAAAATTGTTGAGGGTTGTTATTATGCTACATGCTGTGATTGTACAGCAGCGGTTATTGCCACTGGGACAGACAATTAAGAGCTTAGAAGTAAATTATATTTTTTAAATAAAAATGCCCGTGGCCCATACTCAGCGCAGGGTTATTGGGTTGAGAGCTTTTGTGAAGGGAGTTACACATTTTGCCTCTCTATGATCAAATGGTATAATTTTGATTTCAATAAACTTTCAAGTAATGATTTAAGTTAAACTTCGTAAAACAGAAATTAAAATATTCAATGTGTATAACACAACTTTTGTGGATGGAACTTATCAGTTTTGCTTGAAAAGAGTTAATTGTAAAAAGTAATGTAACGGACGGCATATATTTGACTATGTATGTTTAATGGTATTTTGCATAGTTACACTAATTACTTTGTTATAACACCCGTTAAATAATATTAAAATACCTTTATTAAAGAAACTTTCGAAATTTGCATCACAGGGTCCTCAGTACTTATGTTTACTTTTCGTTGGGTGAAACAAATAAACTATCTATCGATCTATCTCCAACATTGGCGAATTTAGCTGCCAAACAGTTTGACAATCATGAAGAAATAGCACAATAGTTTATGATCGGCATTATCAGGGGTTGAATTATTTCGCGGAAATCTCCAAATGAGCCGTTCCGTCTTGAACCCTTTACACCCTAACATTAGTATGCAAGTTCACCCTCTGTTCTCTATACATTTCCTATAGCACTTACAAAGAGAATTTATCGAACAATCAAGGGCTTTTTGAATACGCCATCATTTCCTATATTGTTAAGACCTTAATGTTTGATTCATGGGTGGTACCGTGGGGAGAAATTGGGTGAAATTAGAGGGTTAACCTTTTAACTCTCAGATCAAATTTGTAATTCTCCTTTCTCTCAACCATACAATTCTTATAATGTTAGTTCAGAGAATTTAGTATTGAATCAACTTATTATCCTCAAATTGATATTTTCTTTATTCTCATCACTTACCTGGTTGATATTGTATTGATATTGTAAGGAGAAATTCTGTCTTGGTCACTCATGGGAGTTAAAGGTTTAAGACTCAAGATTTTTCTATTGAGCCAGTCTATCAAATTACACACTTGTCATCGCTTTACCTTTCAGGCGGTATAAGCGAATGCAGAAAAAACCCTGGTCGTTGTCAAGGTAGCCTTTCGCTCCAAAGATGTAGTCGTATTTCTCTGCGTCAGCTTCCACATTACATTACATTTAATTTCCTTATTCACCGATTAAATTTTGAACCCGAGGTTTCTATCGCGTGATAATTGATGAGGACAAAGCCCGAAATAACTATTTCATGTAGAAATCAAGAACGAGTAATGTAATTGTTTTAGTATAAATCAACTAGTCTTCCGAAAGAATAAAGGGGGTAAGTTTCTAAAGAAACTGTGGTGCTGCGTCGGTGGGAGAGTATAACAGGGTAATTTAGTATTATCAACTGAGTTGATTGATAATACGTCAGACAAAGGGCTAGCGCTCGAAACGTCAGCTTTTAGGCTCTTTTACGGTGGCCAATTTACGTTATCAACTCAGTTGATAATAATAAATTACCTTGTAGTCTTCCAAAACTTGACAGCAAGACAAGATCTTGTTTTTATTTTATTTCTTCTACGATCGTGCACTCTAAGGCGACTCACTACTCAATTTCTATCAGGGAATAGTTGAAGATAAACTGCGAATAGGTAGCCAATTATAAAGAACGCCAGAAGATTTGTACTATGATTTTAAATCAATTCGGTTCTGTATCAAGCTGTTAAGTTTTCCCAATCTCCTCATCTGTTTGATGATGGTGTATTGATACTACACGAGGAATTTGCATGTTAATCACCTGCTGACGTTAAAGAAGTCACTCTCCTATTTTTAAGGATTTGCCGGTATGAATTAAAACAAGGGTCGACGGATGATACAAAAGTGTACTCAAATTATAAATCTGCTAGTCAATTTTATGAAGTATGTTTAGGAACAGTAGCCTTCAGTTCTATTATCATTCGCCTATATACAATTTGGTCCACAACAAAAAGTAGATTTGTGGTGATGAAACAGAACTTTCCACATGAGCCTGTAATGCAACAACATGTTTACTTTATGTTCTATTCTACGCGCAGCGAACGTGCTTGATATTCAGACGTGAAAATATTACGATTGTGAGGTTTCAGCTGACTGTCTGCTAACTAGCTCAAGAAAGAACACATTAAGATACCTTTTTGAAAATAACTTTGTTTTGCATTACAGATGAGATATCTTCTTTTTTTTTTACTTGTTATTTGTCTCTTATGTGAGTAAAGCTTAATTCCATGGCGCTCACGAAGTGGTTATAGAATTTTATTTACTCTCACCACTCACCAAAATAAATTTATCTTGAGAATAAAGAAAATTGTTAAGTAGGAGATATCAGACCTTAAGCAAACCACAACAGCATGGCAACGAGGACGTGGCACAAATAAAGATATAATGGGCAGAAATGGGTAGAACAATAGTTCAGCACGCGTGTTTTTAAACTTTGTACTTGTATCAGTCGTCCTCTGCAAAAGAGGAGGGACTTTTGGCAAATCACGACAGCGATGTCAGTGAGGAAGTGGCAAAACAAGAAACTAATTGGCAGAACAATAGCTCAGCACGTGCGCTTTAAAACTTTGCCCATTTCTTGGCCATCCTCTTTAAAAAATTAAGGTTAAATCATCAAATCTTGCGTGGTCTGAGAACGGAACCCCGATGGCAAATTATTTCAGTTTCCATTTGGAACTCAATGCTGCTCACATACGTTAACCCTTTAACTCCCATGGGTGACCAAGACAGAATTTCTCCTTACAATATCAATACAATATCAACCAGATAAGTAATGAGAACAAAGAAAAACATCAATTTGAGGATAATAAGTTGATCCACTACTAAATTCTCTGAACTAACATTATAAGAATTGTATGGTTGACAGTAAGGAGAATTACAAATTTGATCTGGGAGTTAAAGGGATAGGCTGAAGTTGAGGTGTGGCGCCGTAAGAGACGGTAAACACATTCAGGTATTCGCGAAATTCTAACGAAAAATATGAATTCAATTTTTAATCGACGTCTTCTTTGGCGTTACTTTCCTGACTGCTCAAGGTCCTTATAGTCTAACCTGGAATTAAATCATCAGAGCTAAAATTGTAAGAATGAGTATGGCAGACAGAGAAGAAAATCGTTTTTTTTTTAGACAACTAAAATCATTGAGGGAATTACCATCTAAAATTGGCCATATTTACAAATACTTGTAAAAAAGAAAAGTATATATAGGCTATACTTTCAACCTAAAAAAAACTTTGAATCTTTTTTTCCTTTTTGAATTTTAAAATTAGATTTTTTTCCAGAAAAAGAAACACCTGTTTGAAAAAATAACTGTTATTTTAGCAAAAGGTGGGTGTTTACTTTGGCATTGTAAATTTTCCTTTAATTATCCTCAGTCACCATTTGTCTGGAGGAGGGTCTATTTATTTTCATAAAAGATTGTATTTATTGTCACGCAAAGAAGAATTCATTGCATGAAAGCATGATAATATGTTATGTTATAAGAAATAAATAAAGAAGACCTTTCTGCAAGTTTAGGACTGATCTTTGACCTGAATCTCAGATATTAACTCGAAATCAGTAACTTCTGTTACGCAATAGGTTACAGAACTCAACAGCTCAGATGAAGTCGCCGGCTGAATTACATGCAGAACATCAATTGGTTACACAGTAGGAAGCAGGGGAGTTATGACTGCATTAAAAAAAAACTGACAAACAAACACCAAAATGTCATGGAATAAGAAGGAAAAGATTCCAGTTAAGAATGGCAATTCACAAGCTAAGTGACTCCTTGATTCCGAATGAAATCCCATTTCTTGTGGCTGTGATAAAGTTTTCATTGAAACCTTGAACAAAAATACGAGTTTCTCTGAATATTCGTGTCGTTGAGTTATGCTTTACTTATCTCTGCATGATAAAAAAAATCTCGCAATTAAATCGTTTAAGAAAATCAACCTTTTACTTGCTTAATATAAGACACAACAGTAAGTTACAGACAGAGATATTAACGTCTGAAGCCAATGCCATTTTTAATTTTGTTTTTATAATTGAATTGGTTCTTAAAAAAACAAAAACATATAAACATTTAGAAGCAGTGTCTTCTTTCAGGAGAATATCGTTACTTTTGTGAAAAAATTACTTTTAGTTTTTGTTGAGGAAGAGATTGCAGTTAAGAATGGGATACTATTAAGAGATTCTGGGTGTATTTTGTAAATCGTTTCGTCAACAGAGAAATTTATATATTATATATATATTGTAGTTTCCATTTGAGGAAAAAACTGAGTTTATCATGAGATCAAAGGTTATTTTGATGTTGCTAAGTATTTCAAATTTACCAAATTAAAATAATTTTTCTGATCAAAAAATTAGAAAATAAAAAAAAGTAATAATAAAATGAGATTAAAAAAAATTGAAATGAGCACCAAGCAAAAATCACGAAATGTTAATTTGTTTTAAAAGTGTGTCATTGACTTCAGAAAGTGCACTTTTCAAGTTGTATTGTTTTCTTCACTGTATTGAAAGTGTTGTTTGCATAACAGGACACGCAGGATTTTCTTTAGAAACTACGATAATAACTTTGTCGGCTTTTTTTTTTCGCTAACTTTCATTTTACTCCTACCTTAAGACACCCTGAGAATTCTGAATATTCCTCTGCGTGGAACCCAAAAGAATTGCATTGGAAATCATAGCGGGCCATTTGCTTTAGATTGCACTTGTTTTAAACGTATTGTAACAATTGCTTTTGTAGATAACAAAGTGTTTGCCAGTTTGAAAAGGTGTTTCATACAACAAGAAATGTGAACATGATTTTGACTGTCATCAGAAGTTTCGTGTTGAAATATGCCAATGATAGCATCTAATGTAAGTAAAATTCATATCATTTTCTTGAGCAGATGGATTGTTTTATTGACAGTGTTCCAAAAACTATCCTGCAGTTTTTATATTGAAACCGTCAGGAGATCAAAAGCAGGAAATGGCACAATTTTCTTGAATAAATTTCGCACACCGAGGCATTCTCCTAATTAAGCATTATAAGACACTTTTCTCGGTATAGAGGGGATTGTTATTAGTTTTGGACGCAACTTGGAGCCACTTTTCGGCGATGTGGTGTTTATGTACATACCACAAAGGTATCTTCATATTTTTTTACCTAATACACTCTTTGTTGACCTTCGCGATAAAACTTGCCGGAAATTTCGCGAAAATTAGGAATGTTTGTCTATAAACAAAAGGCGCCATTAGGTGCAAAAATATGCGCGTATTATATTTTTCCAAGAAGCGAACAGTTCACCGAGAGCGAAGCTCGAGGAAAACGGCGAGCTTCGAGGAATATTTAGCGTCTTAAGACAAAACTGTGTGGGCATTTCTGAGACAAATGCAAGCCGTCGAGTCAATTTTTCC